AGAAGAAAAACTTTCTTTTTTTTGGGTCACCCTGCCTCTGTGGGAGATGGCCATTGCTAAAAACAAATTACACAGGAAGAGACAAATGAAATCCCAGTTATTAGTTATTATAGTGGACCTGATGAAAGCAAAATACAGTGGAACCTCCACTTGACCTTGCTCGCATCTGGATTTGCTCATTTGCAGAATCAGTTTTCCTCATTTAAATTAATTGAAATGCAATTAATCCATTCCAGTGGAATTCCAGGCACGATAAAATACTTCAATAATTTCCTTAATATCAACTCTACGGCTTATTTATGTATCACTATTCATCTAATGTAACATAATAAACAATATTAATAACATAGAAACATGATATATACACTAGAATGAATGAAATACATAGTCATTAAGTATGTGGCTAGTGGTGGTGATAGCCATTGTTGTTGTTGGGGTTTATAGGGCCACTGCAGCGGACATTCCTGCTCCTGACCACATGTGTAGAGAACCTGGGATAACCCAAAAAAGTCAGACAGAGTGACTTATAATCGCTACACTCTTAATACTACACTTACTTGCTACACTCTTAATGCTACACTTAATTACTACACTCTTAATGCTACACTTAATTGCTACACACTTAATGCTGCAAGTAATTGCTACACTCTTAATGCTGCACCTAATTGTTACACTCTTAATGCTACACTTAATTGCTACACTCTTAATGCTACACTGTCACTAACTCCTGCTTTAGTATTGCACATATTGTAGAAGTGGTACGCTGGAACTGTCCTTAACCCTCCATCTAGTTTGTTTATCTATGATTTCCTGCTTTATTTCCATGGAAATCATCCTGTTTTTCTTCTCAGCACTGCCCTTTGCACTTGTTTTCTTAGGACATGGTTAGAAACAAGAAATTTTGCAAAATAACTGCACGAAATGTAAGGAAAATACAAGAATTCCCTCCACTGCGAGTGGAGTGGACTGAGTGGTGTTTTGATACATACTGCCATCTTGTGGTGGCGTTCGGAAACTCACTCATAGTCTAGGGTACAACAAGGTTTGCTACCAGGGTACAGGGTTGCTACCAGTGTGCAATAAGGCTGCTACCAGGGGTACAACAAGGTTGTTTTCAAGGTACATACAAGGCCTGCCACTGCTGCTTCATGTTGTCTGCCATTGCTGCATGTCTGCTACTGCTGATTCATGTCTGCCACTGCTGCTTCATGATGCTTGCCACTGCTGCTTCATGATGCCTGCCACTGCTGATTCATGTTGTCTGCCACTGCTGTTTCATGTTGTCTGCCACTGCTGATTAATATTATCTGCCACTGCTGTTTCATGTCTGCCACTGCTGCTTCATGTTGTCTGCCACTGCTGCTTCATGTTGTCTGCCACTGCTGTTTCATGTTGTCTGCCACTGCTGTTTCATGTTGTCTGCCACTGCTGTTTCATGTAGTCTGCCACTGCTACCTGATGATATCTGCTTCCACTTTTGCTAGCATGTTGAAGAGCTTTCCAATATGTGAAGGTTGAGGGGCAGTGCCAGTCGGACAGGTATTGGATGGTGATATCATTTGTTTACTCTTGAACATCGCCAAAGAATCTAACATTTCTGCTGCTTTGAGCTCAGTTTCAAGGTACTTTTCATCGTGAAACCAATCAAAATCATGTTTCTGTAATATATCTCCCATTCTATCAGATGAAACCAAAAAAATGAGAATACATACAACCATAAAAACCATATGAAAATATGCCGCTAAGGGGAGGCTAATGGCTGAGAAGTGAACTCCATTATTTATGGTCTGATTTCTTTCATTTTTGGTGTACGTTAAGAAGCATCTTTCCATCATACATTGCCCAAGTTTCAATAAGATAGTCCAACAAACAGCTGAGATCCAGTTCCCTAGATCAAGAGCAAGAGCCCCTCACCAGCATCAAGGAACCTCCCTTGAGGCCTTCTCGTATCTGGAAATTTCGCTCGCATATGCTAGCAAAAAATCGACCAAGCAACTGCTCGTATCTGGAAAGACTCGCACGTGGATGCGCTTGTAAGTGGAAGTTCCACTGTATTTACTGTCACAGTCACTAGAGACATGGTTATTCAACAGGTAGACCAGTTACAGCAAAATAAGATCAAACATTCTAATGAATTGTTTTTAAGGCTTCTTTTAGTTTGCAAATTAGGACTTAGTGAGCTGCCAAAAAATCATTTTGATATATCACTACATGTTGAGAAATGGCATTACCAGCTAAGTTTAAAGAGTTTGTACGTAACTTAGAAAGACAGCTCATCGCCTGCACAGCCGCCCCTGCAGACGAGGTCTTGAGAAGCTGTCGAAGTCATCTCTCAACGGGCTGTAAAGAGTTATAATTTGTAAGATTATAAATTACCCCTAGGGGGTGTTATGTCAGCATATTTCATTCACTGATGGCTGACAAATTACATACTTGTTTGGACTCAGAAGTCTGCACCTTACTGCCGACTATAGGTTGATTACAAACTCCTTGCAACTCAAGAACTGCGCAGTCCCCCGTACTACAAGAAATTCGTAACCTACCTTGCTCTTGTAGCGTGAGCTATGGTGTTCTTCACACCTTCGACAGATATCGGTGACTTGATAGAAGCTGAAGTGTCCTTGGATGTCCACGTCTTCCATGGTCTAGGAATATGCACACTGGTACACTATGTTCCACAAGATTTGTCTTTATTGTTCACAATCTTATCACTAAAGAAGCTGATTACACTTCTCTTAAGTGTTTATTGTGTTTTATGAGATACTTTGTTCACACTAACGCACAGATCGTTCTTTGTTGGTTATCCTGGCGTCAGTGTCACTCTCAGTAGAGTCAAAAGTAATCTGAAGATGCCACAGCACCCCATGCCGTCACTCCCCTAGCACAAAAAAAAGCTGACCTAGTACTTTTGCTTTCTTGCCACTTCCTCGATGAAGCAAAGCAGAATGTTTGATTCTTGCTGTCTTAAGCATAAACAACAATATACACTATCTCTACCATGGTAATAAAGTGGGAGCAGGATTTTCCTTAATTGTCCTGCTAAAGTAAGAGATGTACTGTCTCTTATTAAAATACACTCTGCAACACTGGACTGCAAGGAGCAACGGTCGCTTGACCACGTCACATACTCGTACGGCATCTGTGATCAATTACTCACTGTAGCAGTAAACAAGATACTTGCCCCTTCTGAGAGGGCTGGGCCCCTCTGGGCTGAAAGGGGCTGAAGGGGGCTGATACCCCCCTCCTGGAGAAAATTTCTCCACACTACAAATAGGAATCATACATGATACATGAAAGATGGTTAATGTGATTCCTATCACCAAAATTCGTGACAAGTCCCTTTCATCAAATTACCACCCATCTTCCTGACATTAGTAACAGGAAAAGTATTAGAATCCATAAGGTATATAGAATTAGAAGTACCTTGAGGAGCAGAATCCAATTAATCTCGACACGGATTCACAAAGGGCTAATCATGCCTAGCATATTTATTGGCCTTTATTAATGCAGTAGACCATGATTAAGAATACAGTGTTGTTTGGAACATTACTACAGACCTTGGAACTGAGGAACTGACAACCTCAAGAAATCCTGCAAGGGTGATGGACTGATCAAATAATCTTTACCTTGCCACTACTGCTATCATCTCCATATATGTTCTCCTCTATGTTTGCATAAAGGAGTCTATCCTGCAGGCAGAAATTTCAGCAGTAAAAATACCCAGCTGTTGCACCTGTCTTACTTATGTACCATTTCTTGAAATGGTGTTGGGGAATGATTACTCGAAGACATTTTGTGTCAGAATCGACAGTCTGATTACAAGATCTAGGAAGTGTTCACCTTACAAATAAGCTGCATTCCTGATTTTTCAACTAAGAAATGAGTTGTTTCTTTAGAAAACTTAGTACAGAGGGTAATTTGTCACTCCTGTTCATGTGTCCCAGCAGTCATAAAATTGTTGTTGGTTGATAATGGAAGATGTGTGTAACTTGGTAACTTGGAGCAATTATAAGCTGGAGTCTTCATGTATAGATAAAAGGTTGATTTAATGAAATTAGTGATTATCAGGCATTCCATTTGTGCAATTTTGTATAATCATGTCATGAGGTAGATAACCAATAGATAGTGTTGGTGTTTTATATAAAAAATTGCATAGGTTATGTAGAAAAGAAGGCAAAACATAAATTATGCACATTTGATTTGTAGTTAGTACATTGTTATTCTTTCTTCTTTCTTTCAACAAACCTGTTATATCCCACCAAAGCAGGGTGGCCCTAAAAGAAAAACAAAAGTTTCTTTTTAACTTTATTAATGTACACAGGAGAAGGGGGTTACTAGCCCCTTGCTCCCAGCATTTTAGTCGCTTCTTTCCACACGCATGGCTTATAGAGGAAGAATTCTGTTCCACTTCCCCATGGAGGTAAGAGGAAATAAACAAGAACTAGAAAGAAAATAGAAGAAAACCCAGAGGGGTATGTATATATATGCTTGTACATGTATGTGTAGTGTGACCTAAGTGTAAGTAAAAGTAGCAAGATGTATCTGAAATCTTGCATGTTTATGAGACAGAAAAAGGGACACCAGCAATCATACCATCATGTACAATAATTACAGGTTTCGGCAATAGCAAGGCGTGCGCTTCATTGATGAAGGTTCTCAAGAAACTACAGTGGACCCTCACCTTACGATATTAATTGGTACCCGAGAACGAATATCGTTAGACGAGGATTTTAGCGTTAGCTGAGGCAAAATGTTAGCGTTAAAATGTATCTTTAGGCGAATTTAACGTTATGCGATGCGTTCGTTAGGCGAGAGTCCACTGTATTCCAGTACATTGTTATATGTTTTAAATATTCTGGAAACTTGTATCAATACATTACTAGTCTGTCAAAATAATACTTAAATATAAGTTAGCAGGTTGAATTAATTGAAAAGGGGGGGTTGTTCATTTAACTGCCAAGGCAATGGTATAAGATTAATAGCACAAACGTTTGCCACAGAGAGCCATCGGAGTACAGACAGCAGAGACTCCCCAGCAAAGGACGATATACCACACAAAGGACGAAACTTACTTCTCTCTGGTTTAGTGGCTTTGTCAGCAATGTTTGGGTATGCAATAGCAGCAGGTCTAGTCCAGGTGTGTAATTACCTGATTTACCTTACATTGCATATATTAATTAACTTCTTGAATTGAAATACATGTATGTCAGTTTATGCTTTAGTTGTAACTACCAGGATATAATGCATAATTTATTAGGAAATTATATAACTGTACTGTAAGTTCCACATTCAGTGTTTTTGTGTATCTGTGACTATATATTTTGTATAAAGTAAATATGTGTTTGACAGGTTGATATGGGTGAACCACCTGTTGAAGAAGAATATGATTATGAATATGAAGACTATAATGATGCTGGATCTAATGGAAATTAAACTGGAGATACAGAGAACTACCAATTCTATATGTTTAGTCAGAAGAACTTAGGCTTCATCTCACTGTACAGCAATCAAGTTTGAACTTTCTTAAACTGTTCTGTTAAACAAGCATGAATTTATTTTCCCTAGATTTATTGTTGGTATGAGAAGATCTTCTAATAAATATAATATGTTATACATAGTTACAGTATTTGTATTGATGCAAAACGTAGTGAAAGTTCACATTTGGTTTTATTTTTAGTGGCTTTTCTCTAATAACTTGATTAATGAATATACATAATTACAAATATAAATCTATTTGTATCATGCAGGTGATAAATCATGTCATTTTTATATAAACATCCTAAGTCTGCCTTATGCAAAATGTTTCCAAAGTTGTGATGGTTCTTAGTATATAATTGTCATAATTGAGGTAATCCTTTAAAAGTTGTCTTTGATTACTTATAATTTATTTATATTAGGGCATCAGGCAGCTGTTCTTTCACATATTTTTCTCATTTTCCATTGTATATACTGTAAGTCTTGAAATAAACCATAGGCATATGATTACATTATTAGGAATGTACATTATATGTAAAGAAGTGATTGAAGCTGAGATCTTATGCAGCTCTTTTGCAAACACCCTTTTGTTCATTAGTTTCTTTCATATGCTATAATTGTACTGTATATCCTCAACTGTGATGGTATCGAAGAAAGGAAAGTCACATCACTGAGCTAATTTAGAATCATGATTTTGTTTTATGTAATATGGTCAACAAGGATGTGATGAATATATTGGCAGTTGAAAGACATGCTTGTTTAATATATTGAACAGTCTTGAGTACATCCCATCATTCCATTGTACATTTTTTTCATAGGTGTCTTACTATGCACCTTTTTCTTAAGTATTTTGCTCAAATACTGTAAGGAATTGGTTTTATAATTCATTTCAAGAAATAAATGATTATATGAACTGTTTCATTTTTGTGTTTTGTATATTGATACCAAATTAGGTGCTTTTTCAAAATGCTGTGAATGTCACTTGGCTAGTCAGGTTAACTCAAACTCCATTATGTAGGTATACACAAAGGTATATTTTTGGTGTTTCTCCAACTGTATTCAAGCTAAGTGCATTGCTGTGAATTCATTTACACTAACTGCTATCTAGATTTCAAGAGTTAGTACTCATAAGTTTTGTTACACAAATCACTAAATATACTTTGTGTGCTTATGTTTATTCTTAATGTGTCTTACTACATTTAGTATAGAAGGTGCAGAAATAAGCAGGCAAGTATTGCCTGACCCAGCTGCTGGTGTGCAGTTAGCCAGTTTTGTTGGCATGACAGAAGCTATAGGACAATGGTGGGCAAACTGCAGCTTGCAAGCCACATGCGGCTACTGAAGTTACTGTGTGAAGAAAAATCTTCAGTTTATGAAAGGGGCAGTTTCCCCCCTCATGAAGGGGAGGTAATGATCCTCTTCAAAGAGTGTAGTCCTCTCAGAGAGGGTTGGCCCTCTCAGAAGTCTTGCTTCTTCGTTCCCACACCAGAATTATCAAACATATGTTGGATGAGGAGTCACTAGACACACAGCTCGTTACCAGAATACCTGCCCAAGTGCACATATGAGTGGAAGTCTAGGGGAACTGCTATTTACCCATACCTGGAGAGGGTTTCAAAGGTCAATACCCCCCATTCATAAGAACATAAGAACGAAGGAACACTGCAGAAGGCCTACTGGCCCATGCGAGGCAGGTCCAAGTCTCCTACCGGCTTAAGCCAATGCACCCAACCTAGTCAGGTCAGGTCACATTGACTTAAGGGAGGAACACGGCAACCGACCTGGTAGCACAAGCTATCAGGTCCAACTCACACCCACCCACATCCACTCATGTATTTATCCAACCTATTTTTAAAGCTACACAACGTTCTGGCCTCTATAACTGTACTCGGGAGTTTGTTCCACTCATCCACAACTCTATTACCAAACCAGTACTTTCCTATATCCTTCCTGAATCTGAATTTTTCCAACTTAAAACCATTGCTGCGAGTCCTGTCTAGGCTAGATATTTTCAGCACACTATTTACATCCCCTTTATTTATTCCTGTCTTCCATTTATACACCTCAATCATATCCCCCCTAATTCTACGTCTTTCTAGAGAGTGCAGATTCAGGGCCTTTAGTCTATCCTCATAGGGAAGGTTTCTGATACATGGGATCAACTTTGTCATCCTCCTTTGTACATTTTCCAGAGAATTTATATCCATCCTGTAATACGGTGACCAAAACTGTGTAGCATAATCTAAATGAGGCCTAACCAAGGATGTATAGAGTTGAAGAACAACCTGAGGACTCCTATTATTTATGCTTCTTGATATGAAGCCAAGGATTCTATTAGCTTTATTGCGAACACTTATGCACTGTTGTCTTGGTTTCAGATTACTGCTAACCAGAACTCCTAAATCTTTTTCGTAATCCGTAATATTAAGATCTACATTATTTAGTTTATATGTGGCATGGTTATTGTCCTGTCCAACATTTAGAACTTTGCATTTGTCTATATTAAACTGCATCTGCAACTTCTCCGACCACTGCATCAGTCTATTCAAATCTTCCTGGAGTGCTCGAATGTCCTCGTCAGAATGAATTCGACGGCCTATTTTGGTGTCATTGGCAAACTTGCCGATGTCGCTCTTTATGCCCTCATCTATGGCGTTTATGTAGATTGTGAACAGCAGGGGGCCCAACACTGACCCCTGTGGAACACCGTTCGTAACGCTTCTCCACTCTGATTTCTCCCCATTTATGGAAACTCCTGCTGCCTATTTGTCAACCATGCCTCTATCCAGGAAAAAATTTCTCCTCCTATTCCATGTGCTTTAATTTTCCTCAATAGTCTCTGATGTGGGACCCTGTCAAAAGCCTTACTGAAGTCCATATACACAATATCATATTCATTACCATTATCTACCTCCTCAAATACCTTAGTGAAAAAAGTTAATAAATTAGTAAGGCAGGAACGCCCCTTTGTAAAACCATGCTGAGATTCGTTGATTAATTTATGCTTTTCAAGGTGGCTACGAACTGCCTCGGCAATTATTGATTCCATAAATTTTCCCACTATGGAGGTTAGGCTTATTGGTCTATAGTTCGAAGCTAAGGACCTGTCACCTATTTTGAAAATAGGTATCACATTTGCCATTTTCCACTTATCTGGCACCATGCCAGTTTGTAGTGATATGTTGAAAAGATTAGTCAAAGGTGTGCTAAGCTCCTCTTTACATTCCTTTAGAACCCTTGCATACAGTTCATCAGGGCCTGGGGATTTGTTAGGCTTTAATTTATCTATTTGCCTAAGGACCATGTCACTTGTGACCCTAATCGTGCACAGTTTATTATCGTCCTGTTCTACATAATTTATCATTACTGGAATATCGCTAGTATCCTCCTGTGTAAAAACTGAGAGGAAGTATGTGTTAAAAATTCTACACATTTCCTTATCACTGTCAGTGAGCTGACCCGAGGAACTTTTGAGTGGGCCTATCTTGTCCCTGATCTTACTTCTGTATACCTGAAAGAATCCTTTTGGGTTAGTCTTCGATTCTCTTGCAACTTTAACCTCATAATCTCTTTTTGCTTTTCTAATTCCCTTTTTTATTTCTCTCTCTAACTGAATATATCGATTTCTTAATTGCCCCTCTCCTCTTTTGATTTGCCTATATATGCCTCTCTTTTGACCAATCAGATATTTTAATCTATTGTTCATCCATTTAGGATCATTTTTGTTTGATCTGATTTCCCTATTTGGAACATAATTTGACTGAGCAGCTAAAACTATGCCCTGGAAAGCATCATATCGGCAACCATCACCACCTACCTGACCCTTAGTCAGGTCATTCCAGTTCAGCCCACCTAAGTAATTTTTCAGTCCTATGAAATCAGCCAAGCGAAAGTCAGGGACGGAGACTTGATTGCCATTATTAGGGGAATTCCATGATATATTAAAACTGAGTGATTTGTGATCACTTTCCCCAAGCTCATCATTAACCTCAAGATTATTAATTAGTGTTTCCCTACTGGCAAGAACCAAGTCAAGGAGGTTATTTCCCCTAGTAGGCTCTGTCACAAACTGTTTTAAAAAACAATCCTGGATCATATCAAGAAAGTCACCTGACTCTAAATTTCCTGTCAAATTGCTCCAGTCAATCTGTCTATAGTTGAAATCTCCCATTAGCACAACATTTTCGTATGTAGATGCCTTACGAATTTCGTCCCATAGAAGTTTACTGCACTCCCTATCAAGATTTGGGGCCCTGTAAATCACACCCAAAATTAGTTTTTCTCGGCCCTCGAGAAGCTGTAACCAAACAGATTCAGTGGCTGACGCTTCTAATTTAATATCTTGTCTAACACAACAATTTAAATTGTCTCTGACATACATCGCTACTCCACCACCTTTCCTGTTGACCCTGTCAGTGTGGAATAATTTATAGCCTTGTATGTGACATTCAGAGGGCATCTCTCTATCTTTCAGATTGAGCCAGGTCTCTGTTATAGCAATAATATCTATGTTTCCTGCACTTGCAATTAATCTTAGCTCATCTATCTTATTTCTTACACTCCTGCTATTAGTATAGTAAACCTTAAGGGAACTAGTCCCTTGCTGCCCTCTGCTGTCCCCCTTTGTTTGCTGAACTGATCTATTGTCTTTATTTATAACTTCATGCTGAATGCCTTTTATACATTTACTGTTTCCAACCCTAGTGTTGCAACCTACTTGTTTCCCACACACACCCATACCTCTATCTTCCATCAGTTTAAAATCATAGGCATTTCACCAGTGGCCTTCTCAATCGAGTCTGCAAGTGCTACCACCCCTGCCCCAGAGAGATGTACCCCATCCCTTGCATACATATCATGTTTGCCATAAAGGTTGTTCCAGTTGTCAATGAATGGGATTGCAAGTTCCTTGCAGTATCTGTCTAGCCAGCAATTTACACCAATTGCCCTAGACAACCATTCATTTCCTACTCCCCTTCTAGGCAAGATGCTACATATGATTGGGATCCCTCCCTTAGACTTAATAAAATCTATAGCTGACCTGTACTTATCTAGCAGCTCTTCTCTCCTACCCTTCCCAATATCATTTCCACCAGCACTGAGACAGATAATGGGCTTGTTCCCATTACCTGACATGATATTATCCAGCCTGTTGACTATGTCCCCAACACCAGCTCCAGGGAAGCACACTCTATCTCTCATCTTCTTATTCCTATTACAAAAAGCACGGTCAATATATCTTACCTGAGAGTCACCAACCACAAGAATGCGCTTACCTCCATTAGCAGGGGCAGTAGTACCCTTACCTTCACTGGCCACTGAAGTACATTCATCCTGAAGAACAGAGAAGTGATTTCCTACCTTCAGATCTTCACTCTTAACTTTCCTTACTCTGATGCGCCTCCCATTACTGTGAACCACTCGCCACTTGTAGCAGGTGCTGGGCTGCACCTCACTGCTGGTAGCCGTTGCTACCTCCCCAACTACAGCCTCCTCACAGCGAGAGACAGACTGCACTTCACTGCTAGAAGCCTCATTCCCCACAACTCCAGCCACCTCACACTCTCCCAGACCCATTGAGGTGGACCTTCAGCCTCCTAATCAAAATCACCTCTATTTCTATAATATGTTTTCCATTCTATCAAATGAGACCAAGAAAACGAGAATACAAAAATAAATACTATATGAAAATAAACCAGAAAGTCGGCATTTTAATTAAAAAAAACGGTCGGAGTTTTTTTTTCTCATTATGCACTGCGTGCTCCAGGATTTTTTTTATATGGTGCACACTGACCACACAGACCCATTCTCTCACATGTGGGCCTACCAGCTTTCTCCTGCTTGATTTGAAGCCGCTAGAATTTGAGTATATATAGGTCAAACACGGTACCTGGTAAGACGTATATATACGGCCACGACAG